ACCTGTAATGGTACTTCTCGGAGAAGAAAAATAAATAAAGAAATGGATCCATAACAGTAATTTACGGCACAGAGAGATATAAGATTTTGTTGTGAGTGATTTAATGGAGTAATTCTTATGAGTGAATAAATTCATTTAACCCTCGATTGCTGCAAACGTTTTACCTATTACCATAGGTAAACAATAGCCACAGAATGTACATGAACTATTCATTATGATATAAAATATTCATTGTAAAGATGGGGAAAAATGCATGTTCTCGAACGATGCATTACAAACTATGGTTAATGAAAAATAAAAACTTTTAACGAGGTAATTATGTGAGTCTGTGCCTTTATTTCTAAAAATGTTTAATAACTATTGCCCGTCAGAGAACTCTGAAGCCAAACTCGTCTAATATAAATAAATACATCGATCGATAAAAACCTATTGACTATATTGCACCATGATATATGTAACATAACCTTTTTTGAAGAGCTAATTTCGTACACCAGACTTAGAGACATAAATCTACACCTCTAATTTTGAAGCTTTAAATTTTTCTTCAATTTTCGAAAAATCGGGAATGTCGATGAAAATGAGACCTGCACCATTCTTTTAAACGTCCTTTGCACTATCCAACAACAAAATTTAATCACACATTTGGAGACTTTTTTTTAATTTTGAAAATTTTTAATGTTCTTCATGTAAAGTACCCCCAAAAATTAAAATATAGGTTTAAAATTCCAGGGTCCACCCCATCAGCTAGAACGATTGTGAAATATCAATTTTGGAGACAATTGGTTGAACGGTTTATGCGCTAGTGTTGTGCACAGAGGGACAGACGTTTTGCTGTCAATCGATTTTTCGGTATGCAGGACGCACAAAACATGTATTCTGGGTACACCACGTGTTATAGGATTTTTTGTTATATTTAGCAACTGGATTTATTCACCGTTACCTGGTCAGGGCCCGGCAATACGAGTTTTGTATCGAAAATTCGTTTTCGGGCGCACGATTACAATACTTTCTCTTCTTACGTTAGTACGGGCGAGAATGTAGAAATTTAAATTGTATCGAAGCTCCGGGATTAGAGAAGTTTCCCCCCACTCCTTCCAGCTTCCCACGTTGAGAAGACACTACCTTTAATTCTGAAAATATTCTGTAAGTACTACATCGTTTGCTTACGGAGACCCAACGCAATTTTTGCTCCTCCGGTGCCACAGTACCGAACCGACCTCAAGGACTGGAAAACTAATGTGTGGATTGACGTACCTAGCATTGCAGAACCAGTATATTTTCGTAAGCATACGTACAACTAACATTACAACTCATTGTTAATATATTAGGTCGACGTCCGAACGACAACACACATTCGCCAGCAGAATGTATTTTTTACACTCACGGTTTTAAGGCAAATTAACGCTTCGCTACACGAGTCTAATTTAACGACAGGCCTGGGTCTTCCAACTGTACAGATCCTACATAAAACATCCTTCAACCTATCCAACACATGGAATATTGACTTGGAACATTGTTAAGCAGAGGTATTTGATTATTACATCACTGTAAATATATCTCTTCGTTTTCCACTACATCCAATATGCTCACCCAATTCATTCCCATTATACGCTGTTTTGTGCATCGCCATTGGCAAAACGACCTTTGAAAACTTACAATGGTATGTTAGCAAATATCACATCAAAAGAAGTACGAATACTGTGGAGGGTCCTCGTAAGTAAACTTCGCTTTCAACACCAACTATTGGCGAGATTGCCTAGCTTGGACTAGGTTCCGAACAGAGTTTGTATTATTTTAGAGTTTATATCGTTTGGAGGGCGTTAGTTGGTCACTTCAAGCTTGAAATATCATCCCTTGAGAGGAGCTTCATTCGCTTCAGAACACTACGCAATATTCCACAGTTATCTAGTCAATCCAACAATAATTACATAATATTACGTTTTCACATCATGTACTTGCTGCAACATTCGCCAATGAAGTACATAGGCAGTCAACTTTGTTTTCAACCCCGAGTCACCCTTAAAGCACCAGGCACGTAGGAGGCTTTTGAGGACGTGACTGGTCGATTGTGCTTGCACTTACACCATAACTTCTGCGACTACTGACACCGAATAACCAATTTGAGCTGAGCTGCAGCGACGCGAAGATGGCTGGAACGATTGATGCGCTCGCTGCGAAGTACTGTTATTCACGTTCTTCAAGAAGGGAATAGAGCAGCAGAAAGTCATCAAAGAATGAGATAAGTAGTCGTATACGTTCAAACAAAAGAAGAATGCTGGCTTCTGGAGATGTCCTCATTGATGACAACGCCCGTCCTCACGGAGCTTCTGTAACCGAGCAACTTCTGGAGCAGATGGGATGTGTTCACTTGGCCCCGAATGATTTTGCATCCACTGTTTCTCGGACTAAGAATTGCCCAGGAGATCAAATTTCCACTCAACCACAATGAGAAGTTAAGGCAAAATTCAGGCACATTTCACATCACACCGGCAAGGTCGTCGAAGAGGGAATCAAAAGCTCGTCACAGAAAGAGACTATCTGTCCACAGAAGAAGACTATCTGTCCAAGAGAGATCTTTCCGGCGATTGTAGAAAAATAAGCTTGATTTGTACTGGCTTTTGGTAATAAATTCAATTCTTTCTTCACTTTTGTCTTTTTGTTGGTCCAATGGAGGTTAAAAACGTCTCTCGGATTAAACTGGGTAATATTCCCATAAAAATGTTGAATGACCAAAAGGCTTTTTGGGGATTGGTCCAGAATCCGTCTTATTGACTGTTTATAATAAGCAGGGTGTTAGGTTATAATAAGCTAGTGTTCGGTTAAAGGAGTGCAAGTCAAAAATTGTTCAAATGGACAGATCTCAAGTTCACCAGTTGATACATAAACTAATATTTTTCTTCTGGTTTGACAAGTGCGGATCTATCAACGTAAATCTCTTGAATTATTCACAGCTTACATATACTTATTAGATAAAAAGAAGAAGAACATTTCTCCCTCATATACGCCTAGAGGTAGATATGTATCTTCTACAGAAATTCTCTACTCAACAGACATCATCTTCGGCAATGTTATTTATTGCTCTTTAGATGATAAATGAATAGAGAGTACTGAACAAATTTAAGATCAACATGATAATTCCCAAAACAGCTACAGAAATATACGCATCAGCAATTTTGTGTCTTTTTCGTTTGATGTCACAATTACAGCTACCTTTCAATTAGTTAATTACATTAAAAATATACCTGTTTATGCCCTTCATGCGTTTTTCTATATTTGATATTCAGTGTGATTCAAATTTCAGAGGCCTTCGTATTTGCGCGACCAATTGACAACTTGATTTGACAATTTTTTGCGCGGTCTTCACACTATAAGCCTTTCACACCCAACCGCCTAGTACCTGGGACTAGACTGTTCTTATGACATTTCAGACATACGCCAGATGGGCTAGTCAAGGAGAAAAATATTATAACTGTACATTTCTTTTACAGAAAAGAAGAAGGTGATATACATTTTCCAACATTTCATCAAGTTTGAAACATATTTACTTTAGAAAGTGTGTGTGTATTGACTTACAACATAAATTATCTATAAGTTGGAGTGACAAATAGGTTAGCAGAGAAGTGCAGGTCTCTCTAGGTGCCTAGTGAAAGAAGCTTTCCACTTTGAAGATATACCAGTAGTAGAATTAAGAGAAATCGTTCATTAAGACACTTGGAATCTCTTAACATAAATAACAATGTAATTTAAAAAGAAATACAAATGGATTCTAGGAGGCACATTGACCAAATCATTAAAACGGCATCAAATGAAAAAAGAATACTTGCATGGAACGGATAAAATATTTTTATTGTAAAGTAAATAAATTTTATTCTAAAATTGTTTCATAATAAGTATAGCTTGTATTTTAATGTAAATGTAAATTCGAAAATTCCGGAATCTTCAATTACCATTTTTTCTATCATAGACCCCACTTTGTCCGTGAGGGTGTGAAATGTCGCACTTTGTACTAGGATTTAAATGTTAGATGAATATAAAACATTAAACTAAATAAACTTCAATAACGGTATAACGTCACGTTTTGAAATTGAACCTACAACAGTTCTTCTCTGTTCCATTCTGAAAGGGATCCGAACGAAACGACTTTCAATTTCTTTATATTTCGAAAGGAAAGTACAATGTTTTTCTATATCGTAGTTTCGAACTTTTCGGAACTAAAATGAATAAACATTTCCAAACAAAATGACAGTCCCGTTCAATTTACATCATAACGCCCTTAACGTTTACATCCTTCCTAATTTTTCTCGCGAAATGACCGCGTCGATTTGCCGAAAGCCCACTGCGGCGAACGAGGTCGCGGGGAGACTAGCGCGGCAAGAAAAAGCCGGGAAATTTTGACTTCCGTCCCTTGGAGGTCGCTGCACAAATCGTTGGCAACGCTGCCGATATCCCAGCGATTTGCGGAATTCTGCATCGCGGTCCGTTCTATTTTTATTGGAGTGTTTTCCGAGAAACCTCAGCTGCGTTGGGATAGAGAGAAAATAAGACTAGATAGGCGAATGAACTTCACTAATAATTCGCATTTGGCTGAATATTACGAGCTGACGAAACAACTAAACTGACAGCTGTATAAATTAACAAACAAATAATACAAACATTACTCTTTAAATTAAAGAAATCTTGAAAAATATGGTAATCACGCCACTGTCCAGCAAATGTCAAGTTCACGATGATACATTATCGCATGATGAAACAAAGCAATCTCTTTCGAGGAACTCTCCTAACAAGTTTATCTTAAGGAGGAAATTACGCGAAGTGACAAAAATAACGTGAACTCCAATCGTTTTATCTATTGTCAGCGAGAAACCTTTTCTTACAAGGTAGAAATATAATTATTTCTGATAATCCATCATGTGTGTCATGTCATTACCATAATCTACACAACTAGAGCAAGATTCATTCAATCAATGATGTTACTGATAAACAAAAGTGTGTAAACTCACCTCTTCCACCTCCCGCGAGAACTTCACCGGCCGCAGGTAGTAGAGGAGCACGCACACGTGGATGAAGTTAATGGCGACGAAGGCAGCGTTCCACAGGAAGGCATCGAACGAACACATGACAGTCCACCCCCAGAGCGCAAAGAACGCGCAGCCCACGAGGAGAGTGCACCGAAGGTAAAGAATGCCGTAAGTGCCGTTCGGCGCAAGGTAAGACAAAAAGAAAAACGTATTGGCTAACTGAAAGTAGACGTGATTTACAGATCCCCACTGCAAACAATACGACACTCCAAACACTGAAGACAGGATAGAGATGTTGTGGGTGGTGTTGGACCACTGTGGGTGGTGTCCAGTTCCTGAGTAATCTTCTGCTCCCGTGACTCCCATAGTAGACGTCACTGATGAAGGGGCAGCAGTCAAGTTGTCCACGGGCCAGGCAGTAGTTGCGGCATTCTCACTGGCTGCAGCAACGACATTAAGAAGTGCAGCAGCCAAGGCACTGAGTAAGGACATGGAAGATGGCTTTTTCTCACCCTTATTGAGAATTCACCAGTTTGAAAATATTATTGTTCCTTCTTTTTCCCAAAGCAAATCATTTTAAACAACTTAAAAAAATAACGGTAACATCTTCTGTCGATATCTACATTATTCTAATTGAAATCATAACTTCTACATTATTACACCATTCATCAAGAATAACAGCTTGGAGGTGAAATCCCGTCACCAGTTTGAGTATTATGTCCAGATACAGCACAGTATCTGCAAAGGAGAAATCAATAATGTCAAACAACAATCTTATTATATGCATCAGTTCCACATTTTCAAATAAATACTTGAAATATTTACTACAAGTAGCAACCACATGTAACGTGAAATGTCTCAGTTTTATTTTTAAAATGGTTAATGTTCAATACGACAGTTCAATTTGACAGCTTAATGTATCATCTTATCATACAATGCCTAAAAGAACTATAATCAGACATTATTTTGCTTCATTCTTAACTAAGACATCAATACACGTCGGGTGGCTTTGAACTGGTCCGGGAGGCGACAGTTGAAACCGATGCTGCGGGACGTCAGTTCAACAACACGAGTTCCCGCATCTGAGCAAAAGAATATCATAACATGAATCATACCTCAATAAATTCCAGGTCCTTCCATGTGTGCTCGGCAGAATGTCCACAAAAATCACACCAACAAACAACACTACACAACAACGATAATATTGGTCCAAGACAGTTGATAAATCCACACGATGCCGTTTAATAACACCGGCGCCCACGACACTGGCAAAGGTCGAGTAAACAACGAGGCGGTCTTCTACGAAAACGCCGTGGAAGAGCAGTCAGTCTCTTTCATCCTGACGACCGTAGATTCGTGTGGCTGTCCCCTCTCGTCGGGAGAAGCACAGGCTGCGGAGACGGCGGCAGTGGTGGTGGCGGCGGCGGCACGGCGAAACAAAACAATCGGTCGACGCTCGTTCGAGGCACTCAGCATTTGACATGCGGTGACGGTGGCGGCGGCGGTGGCGGCGGTGGAGGCGGCGGCGACGGCGCGGGAGAACCCGTCCAGGCTGTTGGCCGATCGTAACACTCTCTAGCGACCAGCGAGCGCAACGCTCGAATACGGCAGCCGCGCGCTCCTGCCTAGGCTGACCAGCCGCTCCGTGAGAGAGCGCTAATGCGCCCTAGTGGCCAGAGGACGAACTCTTTGCATAATACGGTATGCGCCAAATTTGAATAGTGATTCCACATACAGGATTCATCATTATGGCCGACTGCGTTTTCTTATGTTGAAATTAGAGAGTGACATTTGTTTTAAAAATGTCGCCCATAAAGTTTAAGAACGTGAGTTACTAATTTAAATGTTACCAAGAATTTCTCTAGCAAACACTCTGTCCCGGTTGCGTTAGGACTGCTTCTGTGAAATCCCATTCAACAATGGTATCCAATAGCAAGTACTAATTTTGTGGGTTTTTTCTCGTCCATACGTCACATACAGGGTTTTACTTTTATAAATAAGTAAATCAAGGAAAGAGAGTATCTCTGATCTTGATTCTTGGATCAAGGGAAACTGATAATATGAATCATTGCGAACATGGATTATATTACTGTACGATTTCAAAAAAAGGATTTGCATAAAACAGTACAGCCTGGGCAGCAAAATATTAATACAAAATACATACGCCTTGACCGAAACAGAGAAGATTCTTCTTGTTTGAAGTAAAAACCACTTTACATAACTACTAGCTATTACATAGTAGCATTGTTTCTTCTCCTTTTGCATAAAACTATTTCAATTTATATTGCTTTCAAATTTGAAATAAATTTAATATGATTGTTTTCTATGTTTTGTTAATAGGACCAGTCTTCAGAATAGTTCAATGTTATCCAAACTTAAGGAAAACCGCCGCATCGCATAACGGATGACTAGATTATAAACATATTACGTTGATAATGGGAAATGTTTTATTTATTATGTTCAGCTACATCCAAACGAAATCTTACGCAAAGCACAAGTCGTCTTTCAGACAGAAACAGAAGACGTTCGTGTTAGCGATAATCGGAAGTCCTCTGTTACACGCAGTGTCGAATTCCCGAACTGCGTTTGTTCTTTGGATCAAAGGAAACTGCCAAAACTCGATCACGATGGAAATTCCAAGTAGAGATTATAGCTGCAATCTCGTTCGAGGTTTCGTACCGTTTCCATTGATCCAACGAACCTACACTGGGAAGGTCCGTGGCTTTGCTTGTGGAATGTAGCTTTATATGTAGGTCTTATCTCCCTCCCCCGCCCAAAACGTCAGTTTCTTGTATTTGAAGGTCAAAGTTAAGTATTTAAATATGTTTATTTTTTATTTCCATCACTTTACACCTGGAAAAAAATTGTACTCATAGATGCATCATTTCCATTTTAATATTCAGAAAGTCTCACCAACTACAAGCCACTCCCATAACTTCTAAACAATTCATGATATCGAAATACAGTTTTCGCTCAACAGTGTGGAACCATGGGGCAAGTAATATGTCTTAGAAATAATATTTGAAATAGTTTTACTTACAAAAAATAAATTTAATCATCTTTTATTTTTTAAATGGATCCATACATTTTTCTCACTAGCAATAGATTATAAAAATAGCAATGCAATGACGAAACACGTTAATATTTTGATTTTGTGTAAAACACGTACCCTCTGTCATGAGGCTTTAAATTAAAAGAGCACTATTTCTTGAAGCAGCCCTTGCTACTGTCGCTTTTGGGGAAAGTCTCCTTCGCGGCTTCTCCCCTCTCCCCGGAACAGTACTGCCTCCGCGAAGACTACTTTCTCCAAGGGCTGCTGCCGGAAATATTACTCGTGCAAAACGTCTGTCTGTTCATGTATGGCCAACACTAGCACATAAACCATTTAATCGATTTTTACTTTTTCTAAAATTTATATTTCCTAATCGATTAAATGAACTCTGAGACCCTCTGTGTTTGAAATTGATATTTTGATTTGCGGGATATACAAAGCCTCAACAACATTTTCCAAATTTTATCAAAACTAGCTTCAAATTTTTAGATTAAACTTCGTCATCGTATAGAGTAAAGGTCGCTCAAGACAACAGTGCAGATCTTATTTTCTTTAAATCCCATATTTTTTTTAAAAAATGCAAAAGTTGAAGATTGAATTGTTGAAGATATGTTTTTCTTTTTATTTAAAGCAAGATCTTGAAACAAGGTCCTGTGCAATTTTGGGAAAATATGAGGAGTTTTCACGTAATTGTGCGTGAAACAAAGGGAATTTTAATATTTTTAAACAACTTTTTTTCTCCTAAAGGGCTTCAAATTTTTTATTTAAATTTTCTGCTCATAAGGACGTTAACATTTCAAAACAACAAAATTGAAGAAATATTGTTTCCCTAACAAAGACTTTAAAAAAGGCCAGGCAGAATTTTTTGAAAAAAGTTTTTGTGTAATTTGCACTTGAAATGATGCAGCGATGGGTATCTGAAAAGTTCATTGTTGAACGGCGACATGATGGAGAAGATAAGATAAGACGGTTTTATTAACGTTAGCCCTACAATGCTCTCTACGTTCAATAAAATAATATATTTAGCTTCATTAAAGTCAGGAAGAAATATATGTGCGGATTTGTACAAAGAAATGATACTTATAGAAGAAATATAAGAAATATACTTATTTTCCTTTAAAAGGTTCAGTCGCTGATTACTGTGTAATCTTTAAAAACTGGAAGCTCACTTCCATGAACTCAAGGCAAGCTGGTGTGAATTTACGCTTGCTTATCTGTATGTTGTGCTGCAAATGCTTTAACAATTGTGATTTATTAATGTTTGTTTCTTTTGTGGAAGTAACAAATGATAACAATTCCTGGCTGTGGGAATAATTACAGATTCGCATCACTGGGGCGGCGTTTGCATGAGTTTGCATGACTTTTTCAAGAGGTGACTAAAGTGTTAGTAGGGCAGAAATTTCAGTGTTATAATGTTACGTACCTGTACGCAATAATGTGAAAACGTAAAATGTTAAATGAATATAATTTCAAGTATGACGGTCAAAAATAAAAAAATATGGCATTGGAAATATCCGATATTCCGCCGCACAATTTGCGGATAATCTCTGGTGAGATAACAATGTTTTAACAAACGTTCCCCAAATGTCCCATGAGGTTTCAGTTGATTCGTAATATTTCCTAATTCTCTAGAAACATCCTACATCTTTAATTCAGGGAACGTCCGCCCTCATTATGTGATATTTTGGTAGAAGGCGAATAAGTGAATTAAAAATACGCCAGAAAAATTGTGGGTTTTTTTTCGTATTTAAAGACGAATCTAGATTAAGCCATTTTATGGATTCTTGTCAGATTCAGAAATGCTTGGGGAAGATTTTGTTGTAGTACATTATTGTATATTGATATTTCAAAAAACTGATCATAATTTAAGGAACCTAATACTTCAATGACTCTCCCCCTTCTGTGTTTCCCCTTTATTCATGCGCGAAAGCCATTCTCTATTCGGAAAACATCTATTAGTGACTTCTTTTAATGGATCTTTATTCCTCAGAAAAGTCATTATTCATTTGACACAATTTCAATAAAATAATTAATCATAGCAGTTGACGTACCTGGAAGTATCAATCAATCCAATAAATTACTTAGTAACATATTGATGGGCAGGCAGAACTAAGGTCTTAAAGCTCACGTTTACACATTAATAATAGTAAGCTACGAGCAAAAAATAAATGTAACGTACAGTACAAGCACAATATATAAAAATATTCACAAAATCTCAAAAGGGAATAAAACCAATTACAACGGAAAGTCTGATTTCTTATTGATTTTCCACGTCCGCGAGCAAACGTCAACCCTGACTAGATTGATGCATCACGGCCTCCTGTGTACAGGCCATCCTGCAGCATCAAGGCCGCCCATTTACGGAGCCCCCCCCTGTCCATATTGCCGTTGACGACCCCGGTGCGTCGTATACGCAGATTGCCGATAGAACACGGCGAACCGCCGTGAATTGAGCTGAGAACATAGGCTTCTATCTCCCCCTCCTCCCACACACTGCATAACAGGCTCCGACAATGGACCGTCGGGCCCAGAATCGCGCCATCAGGCATTTGCTTTCGCCAACCGCATCGACCCACGGAGAAACCACATACAATTTGCTCACCCTTGGAAATTTGATGTAGTAGGTCAGAATACGCCAATTCCCTGCGTGGTGGAGAGCGTACTTGCATGCAATCACGGAAACGGACATACTACAGTACGTAATTTTGTAAAGAATAAATCGAGATTATATGAAAACTAGTTCAGATTCATGTAACCGCGAAAGACGTAAGTTCGTAAA